AGACTCCGACGATCGAGGAGAAGGCGTTGGAGATACACCAGACGCAATTGAAAGGGTTCACACCGGAACAGGCGGAAAACTACTTCCTCAAATTAGCCTCGCAATTGGACACGTACGCAGTCGATCCGCATCCGGTCAAGGTAATTTTCGTTAACCCTCGCATGCTTCTAATAACAGCGAATAAACGGAGTGAAGGGATTTATCGAGAACTCCTTTGATCCACTCGTTTCCGCGATCGCGCGCGAGCTTCAATTTGCTCGCGAAATCGACGGATTTCGCAAACTTGGTATTTGAATACCAGTAGCTGTGATTAACGACAATGCGGACGATAACATTGTTCGCAGACAAACAAACTCGAACATTGCCAACACATCGGTTAATGGCGTGACCGGCGCTCGGCGGGTTCTCATGGCCGTTTCCTTTCGTGATGCTAATGACGCCCTTCTTTATTTCCGGCAATACGTTTAGATCCGTTAGCGACGAACTGTTGTCCTTTGACGGAGCCTTGCACGGAAGCGTTCTCGGTCGGACAGTGACGAGACTCTTGTGACCTCTCGCGCGATCCTTTATGAATGGCGTCCGCGTGCCGCTCAGTTCGCAGTCGAGTTTGGAGGTCCAAGGCCGTTTGACGATTTATTTATAGGTTGCTACAATCGCGAAATTTTTTCAGCGAACAAGATATTTAAGTATATTATTTAATTTCCTTATTATTTTATAAATTAAACTGCTCAACAAGAAAATCGACGCATCTCGAAGCAAGTTTTCCAATAAAACTTTGCACAAAGAGATAAAAAAAATAATAACGATATCGCGGTGAAAAATCTGTGTCTCGAACATTTTAAGCTAATATTTTGCAAAGCCAAATGTCGCGGATTATTTTCTCGAAGTGCGTCGATTTTTCGATAAACAGTATTATCAACTTTAGTCATAAATTGTTTTTATGTTTGAAGTTCAAAAAGATATCGCCCGACTCTTTGATTAGAACGCAGCAAAGTACGCTATTTGCTTCTTTCTTATCGAAAATGGGGATCACGATCGCCCGAATCGCGATCCCCATAACGAGGTCGCGATCGCGAGTTTCGGGGCGAGCTCGTTGATAAATCGGAGCACGACGGAATGCACGCCTATATATCGTGGATAAAAGTCGTATATCTCGTTTACGTCGATAAGAGTCCATAACCGGTTTATCTTCGGCGCGAGAACCATCGCGTTTTGCACTCATTTCATAAATTCGTCGGCTCCTCCCTTTTCTCTGCGCGATGCTCGTGAACTCGAAACGTAGAAGTGCGCATTTATATTTCAATCATTACGTTATTATGGTATAATAACGTAAATACCGCGTTATTGCTGCATCCGTGAAACGTGAGTTATGCAATTTAATATTATTACAAGCAGCGATATAACGTAAACCGACCATCATGCAGCGCCGGGTGCATTGTTGGTTTTAATTCACTCGCACCACTGAACTCGCATTTAATACGAAATGGCTTCGATTTGCGCGACTCCGTGTCGAGCGGTTTGATAAAATGGAAACGTTTTCAAAGGTATCCGATTTTAGCCGCCGCTGACATATCCCTCAATATCATGGAATATGAAACAGAGTTCATTGATATTCAAACGAGAGGCGATCTTTCAGTGGGATTTCCTCGAGAGCGCATTGATTGTATCTTATCGACAACCGCTCGGAGGTTCGAAACATCTTCATCCCGTTGTTACGCTGCTCAACGATTTATCGGAACTTAATACCTTGGAATTGAGAGAAGTGAAGATTTAATGTTTCCGCAGTAAATCGTATTGTTTTTCACTTATTAGGGGTGCACAAAAGTTTCCATCGCTCCTAAGGCAATTTTCTTTAGTAATATCTTGTCGTTGATATTTTTAGTCAAAATATTTTCCGGCATTATCTGTCACTCTTTTTACCATCTCTAGACAAAGGATGAATACCGCGATGAAAGAAGTGTATTTTTTTAGAGCGACAATATGAGAGAGAAGCTCCGATTCTCGGATGATATGCAACGCAACAAACTGCTTCTTAATCATCATTCATCATTTATCGTTAACACACTTTCCATCATGCCATCGGTGCGATTGTTTAATTAATGCCTCCGATCGATGCGGCCATTGAAACCTCAACCGTTATCTCAGTCGGAACACTCTTGCTGACAAATAAACTGCGACATACAAATGCGACTCGGCGCGAACTAATAATCTCGCGTTTCGTATCGCTTTCGCGAGGAAAAACACTACGCTATTATTCGTCCCGATGCATTCATCGTACTTCCGCATGTGTGTACGCGCGGTAGCAGCTGTCGTTTATTGGTTTTCCAACTTCCTGACTGGATGCTGACATTTTCGCTGAGGAAAATAATCCACACAGCCGTGAGCGTCTTCTGTTTAAGGGAAAATGTCATTTTTACGGCACGCCATCATACGTCCTCGTTGACTAGCAATGTTCTCACCTGCTTTAACTCGCGAAAGAGCGCCCATAAACTATCCGTTTTATGCACTGAATGTTCATCGATCGTTACAATATACACACGCTCACAAAAATAATCGCGAGATTCGATTTGCGTTAATTTCCGAAGAAATTTTTTTTCTCATATACTCAGAATATTTGCAATAATTATTCGACATATGATAAAATATTTATATTTAAAATAATTATTAGTACGATTAATGAAAAATATTATATTAAGAATAATTATTAAATCGTTTTCTCCATCGAAGAAAATTGAATTAAAATTTAATTTAATATCCAATCTAAATTAAAAGAGATTACATTGTAATTGGATTTTAAGGTAATCGTTTTAAATAGTGAATGTGTTAGAAAATTGGGCAAAAATTTCTTAGATTCTCCGTCGTACGCCTATCTTTGCACGAACATCGCGTTACTCCTTCGACCAAGTTGCGATTTCATTTTCTGATAAATACGTTTTCGCGTTACACACTTGCAGGATCCTGACAAGGGTACGCAGCTGCATTTGGGTATTAACCACTGCGGGATCCTGACGTTTCAAGACTCACGGAAGATACAACATTTCCGCTGGTCGGAAGTTCAAAAGATCAACTTTGAGGGCAAGATGTTTATCGTGCATGTGACGATAAACGAGGTAAATATGTGCACGGTTATGCATCGGATTATCATAATTATCACATCGTGACTTGTTATATTTTGAGACGCGACGTGTCATTATGCGTCATTGACAAGTTTTTTGAAAAAAAAGTCCATTTTATCTTTACAACTCCTAAATATGAAAGTTGTATAACACAATGTTGTGCTAATCGCACGTTGTTACTGAAAATGCTCTCTCGTTCGTGCAAGTTTCGCTCGCGTGCGGTATACGCGTACGATATGCGATATGTGACGTCAACCATTACATGATTATAAGTTAAGTAATCCTATTATTCCTCTTTGTTGGATCTATGCAGGACGTAAGGACGAAGGTGAGTTTCAAGAGCGATCTTAATCACTGAATTTTAATTTCAAAGACTCTATTACCACTAATACCACTTTGAATGTTGAAAGGTAGAAGGTTGTTAGAAAATTAGAAAAACTAAAAAAATTAAGAATTTGAAGAACGATTTAAAGAACCTAATAAAAGAAAAGTCAGAAAATTTTGAATGGGTCTGTTGTCAAAATATAGAATAATATAGATTTTGTTGTCAAAGTATAGAATATGATAGCTTTCCAAAGATCATATCTTACGTCGCCTAGCGGGAAATAAACCTTTATTGTACCGCAAGTCTCGTCTTCGCATAGTTTCTCGTCGTTCATAAAATCACAAATAAAGTAACGGTCTTTGTCACCTCGGGACTATGCGGATCCTCTTACAGAGGATGTCAGTCTCGTTTTCAACTATAATTTCCGGCCGCAAAACGTGACGTATCATGTTCTGCGAGCATTAGCCGATAACTATCGTACCGTACGCGTTTCATTCAATTTTACGTTCGCGACATGACTCTGTAATATTTTCCAACAATTAAATGACTTAACATCGCGTAGTCGTTTGAAAACGATCAATCTTGTTACTGATATAATTTAGTGTCAAATTCAGTCTCTACTCGTTTTTTTAATTTTTTTAAATCAAATATGTCGTTTTTTTTTTTTACCAAAGCGCAAATATTTGATAACGCGAAGGGAGGATATTTTCCAATCGTTTTGGTGTTTACAATTTTTAGAAAAAACACCTCGTCGGATTCAAATGTCCCACGACAACAAACTGTCGTCACGTATGGAGGTGCGCCATCGAGCAGATGCTGTTTTTTACGTAAGTATCTCTTGTACGGTTCAGGTGGGATTTACGTTCCTTCGCGTCGCACGTGCCTTCAATGATTACGAAGAAATATTTTATTTATGCGTTTGTCAAAAATTTGTAATACGCTTGGAATACGAGCGAGAAATATTTGTGTTTTAAATTAAAAAAAAAACATTGTTTCCGGTCCCCTGATTTTTTCATACATATTTGCACACGGCACAGCGCGTAATCATCGTGCCAAAATTTCAGCGAGAGACTGTCGGACGAATACGAAATGAGATCCCCCCCCCCCCTTGTTTGCGAGAATTTAGCAACGCCCATTATTTACAAGCACTAAGTTTTTAATATTGTGTTGAAACTTAAGTGAAGTTTGCGAGATGTTTTTCCCGGCGATTAAACCGCGTTTTCGCGCTGAGGCTGCGCCACGGTATACAGCTTTTCGGAAATTCCCGAGATAAGTAATTGGATGAGAGCGCAGCAGCGGTAAAGGTAGTTCCGGCGCAGTTGTAAAAGATGCATCCCTGGAAATATTGCTGGCACTTACATGCTCGGTTTATGCTCGCGCGGCCGAATTTAACGTTTCCATTGCGAGTTTTGACGAACATCCGAACGAGTGCTCGTTTAAGTGGGATTGCGATGAATGTACCGCTTCAATACGCGCGTATACTTTGATGTACGATGAAATATAATGTATATTTTATTTCGAATAACCCGGTGAAAATGTACAGTCTGTCGTTATTTAGTGAAGCGAGAGTTTCGCTTGCCCCTTCGATCGTCGAACATCAAGGCAACGTGCTCGGCGATGCGATCCGAATGTAACGCGTCTGCATTGCAGCTCGTTAGTAACGTGCCGTCCGTTTGGACACTTGGTGAATCCGGGCCGAGTGTTTGCGGCATCGCTGGCGAGTTTGCTTGGCACGTGTTTGTATTTGACATTTCTTTCCTCGCGTGGCGGAAAGTCAACTTCGCGTGAGATTAGTCGGACGAATTAAATCGGCGGATTAATCGCTTCGAATGAATATTTGGGTGTCGAATATAATCTTCGCTCAAACATAATTGTTGCTACATACCAATCATACGGTCTGGTGGCACAAGTGGCATCGGCAGTAATTTAATGGTCCTGTTATCCGCAGCCTACCGAGAGCGTCGGACGCGCCGGTGGTGAGTGGCGGCTCTATCTTCTCCTGGGGATACAAGTTCAAGTATACCGGAAGGACGGAGAGAGAGGTTCTGGAGGAAGCAGGACCACTCCGGAAAGAGGAGCCGCCTATACAACGCTGTCAGACGACGTGTTTGAGAAGGAAGGCCAGTAGCGTACCGGCCACCCCCAGCACGCCCAGCCAGGACCTCGTTGAAATACGTGAGCGGAAGAAAACTTCTCTTGTCCTGCCGTCTCCCTGTTTCAAAATTCAAAACGTCAAGCTTTCTCTCTTACCACTGTGCAATTTATTTATAGCGCCGCAGTACTTTTTTAGTAATCAACAAGCGGCTTTCGCAGAATACTTTCTATTATTGCAGAGAATTTATTATAATCGCGATAAAAGTGCAGCGACAAACAACAGCTAGAATAAAATGATAGATGTTAAAAATTCATTAAAGGGCGATGAATTGTTGGCTAATGATCGCTAATGAACACCATTCTCGGGTGCGAGTCGCACGATAGTCTCTTTCGTCTCGCGTTTCAGGATACTCCAGCCTACCGCGTAGCTGTCATAGCGCGGGTTTGGACGGCGCCGGGATGCTGGAAGGCGGCGCGGGGGTTCCCCTCAGCTCGCCCTACTGTCCAGACAATACCTTGCCCCTTCTGGAGACTGTATCCGAGGACCAAGAGATTCACGCCAGGAGAAACAACGGTTAGTTAATGGCCGTGTCACCGCCTTTTCTCTGTCCCCTCTCTTTCTCTCTCTCTCTCTCTTTCTCTTATCTTCTTTCCGAAACTCTCTCGTTGGATTCCGTACTCTCGTTCAGCTCCCCCGACCCATTCGAATTCATCGCTGCGACGCATGTGTACGCGACAGTGAACGCAGCGATATATTGATCTAATACTTAAAGCTTGCATTGAAATTCTCGCGAAGGAAAATTGTTATCTATAGTCGGGCAACGTGGAGATACCGTATTCGTAGTTGTTAAGTTACTTTTGTATGACAATATTCAGTGCTTTCGATAGAAATTAGTGCATGATGAAGTGTATAACAATTGTAGTAAAAGTGTATGCGGAGTCTTTCCTCTACTCCAGAAGCGAGACAATTTTGTGAATGCTTTTGTCAATCTAAGATTTCCAATTGAGAAGAAATCTAGGATTTCTAATTGAGAAGAAAAATGTTGGAAAATTCAAAGGGTAATACATTCGCTTACTCTCTTGCGTCTTTTTTTTTTTTTATCAAAAGACAAAAATCTCTGAAAGATCGAAACAAGCAAATCTCGTCCTCGCGATTGTTTCGCTGTCAAGACGTCACTCGCGCATCGATGGCGTTCGTCGCGTCAGACGTGACGCAGCCATTGCGCCTTTTTTTACGACCGCCGCCGCTTCTTTGGCTTCTTAGACCTTCGGTTGATTTGTTTCCTTCTTTTCTTTCTGTTCTTTTAGCCGTAGACGAAAATGATACGCATGCGAGTGCCACCCACACGTCTACTACTACCATCACCACCACCACTACCACCACCACCACCTCCAACACCATCACCACAAACCGCGCGAAAGCCAAACTGAAATTTCCCAAGAGCACGCTGAACCGACCGCAACCGTTGTACAGTCAGAGAATAGTGATAGGCTCGGAGGAGCTGGCGGGTCGCGACATCGAACACGTCGTGCGGCAGCGCATTAACGCCCTAATTAACGGGGAGCGAAGCCCGAAGGTGGTGCGGTCGACCGCGCTGATAATCAAGAGCTCGAAGGCGCCGGCAAGCGCGAACGGACGCCCCGGAACGGTCAAAAGCCGCGCATACGACGAGCACGGCGGTAAAACGCGCGTAGAGGTAAGCGAGCACGACGGCGTGATAGGCCGCGGCTCGACGACGACGAAGACCGCCAACGGTTGTGCTGGTCGGGCCATGAGATCGGGACTCGAGAATGGATTCGATCGCTCGAAACGGCAGGAGGTATCAGGTAAGCGCGGTGAACCTCACGATAAAACGTAAAAAAAAAAAAGAGAATCGTTCTATCTCCTTCTCTCTGTCTTCCCCTGTCAATCGCGTATCTCATCCCTGTATCCTGTGCGTATGACGTTGTTGAGAATTGTGCTTTGTTTTCCTGTCGCCTAATGTCCTTTATGTTACGCTTACGACACCCGCAATTTGCATGGGCTTGTTATGCCTGTTAATAATAAATCGACACCGTGTCCGACATCGTTGCTCTTCGTGGACCCGCGAGGTATCTCGCTGGTTCGATCGTCGTACTTCACCGGTCGCTCATCGATAACTCCAGCGTGTCCCGAATAAATTTTTCGGGATCGCTGAAAAAGTTTCCCACAGCTAAGCCGCCTTCCGACGAGTACGACAGTCGAATCGATAAAATACTAATCGCAGATATGTACTTGCTGCGTACGATAATGACGCGAGTGCACGCGTAGACGTGAATTCACACGAAAACAGTCATCTGTCGATTTCCTCCGCAGAATCGCTTCGTGGAGATCAATGAGGCTAGCTTTCATCTAGTAAAAAAGCAATCCTTGATAAATATATTTTTGAAATTACGATTTAGATACAAAATTCTGCTAAAAAGACATTTACCGTAAAAATCTTGCACACGAACTTTGAAGCTGAATAGCAAAATAAGAGAGATATTGATTGAGTAAACTTCGATGTTACTTTTAAGAAAATTAATCACGCAAAACATACCTTTTATCAGTGAATCATTCTAGAGATATTTAACAAGTTTGCATATTCAAGAAAATGTTTGAGAGAGTTATTTATTCTATCGTATGTTTCCTTAACCCGATTCGCTGCGGCGAATACACATCGCGCTATAGACATTCTTCATCGTTTGTATGTAATTGGGTTAGTTCAACGAAAAATATTCAATTTGATAATGTGGATATAATCAGCCGCCGCTCAAAGTTATTATTTCATTTGAATCTCCTCCGCGTGACAAATTTATTATGCAGAAAGTTGACGCGTTTTTTGTATACATTATTTTTCGACAGCGGAGAATAAAGGACGTCGGTTCGAATGAAATTTAAGAGTTATTCCAGTTTTTTCACATTGCAAAGTCAATATATTGCATACTGAAAGTTCCACGAACGCGATCTGAAAGCTCGGAGTAAAATCGTCAGAGCGTCCGCACCTGTAACGTCCTCCGTCCCTTTTACGAATCGCGTACTGGCGCAACCGTCCAATAGCATCGATCGCGTCCTTTCTGTTTCAGTCGGTCAGCACGAGGGCGAGGCGAACGACTACTACTTCAGGGACTCCTTCGATCACTCCTCGTCGGAGAGCCAGCTGCTGGACGCGTCCGGCAAGCCGCACAGCCGTTCGGTCACGCCGGTGCCGAAGATGCAGAAGCTGCAGAATTCGAAGCTCTGCTTGCAGCAGCAACAGCATCGCCAAGGCCGGCGTGCGGCGAGCGGCAAGCTCAGGCATCGGAGGCACGTGCTCTTCATCACGACCATCATACTCACGATCACGATGTTCATCGTGACGGTACTGGTGTTCGAAATGGACACGTTCAACAGCCTGCGTAAGATGCCGGGAATGGTGGCCTTAAGCCAATATTACGTTCCGATAAAGGAGTTCCTGCGGACCAAGCTCGGCCTATTCTGATGCGACAAGATGACCGGGCCGAGGTCGTCCTACGTCGTCGCGTAGCTCTCTATCTATCTAACTCTCTCTCTCTTTCTCTCTCTCTCTCTCTCTCTCTCTCTCTCTCTCTCTCTCTCTCTCTCTCTCTTTCTCTTTTCC